ATGTGAAGCCTACAAATTTCAGGCTTCAGGCCAACGCACGTTAAACAGTTGTCAGAAGTGAGAAAACCCTAAACCAAAACACGTGGCCCTTATCCTGTCTCTTATACACATCTAGATGTGTATAAGAGACAGGTGTGTGTGTGTGTGTGTAAGTGTGTAAGCTGTGTGTTGTCTGCACTATGGGTATGTCCATTTCACTGAGTCTTTAAGTGTTAAACTACCTTCTTCCCCCAAGCACAAGGTCCGGTCATTATCTCTCTATGTATCTGGTTTGACGCTTGCTGTACGTACGGCTATTATGACCAGGTCCTTTTGTTCGGGGGAATAAGTAGGTGATACTTCTCACCCCACATGGAGATCATGCATACTAACTCCTACAAGTCGCCACACATTCTGATGGTGCTATTTATAGTTCCACATTTGCAAAATTGAATGCACTCTCTCTGTCAATCTCACTTCTACCATAACTTTGACGATTGCTGGTACTTTCTTCTCCAGCCTTGCCACCTGCTACCAGGTTCTTCAACGCTCCTGCTACTTCACAGGGCATTCCTCTCCGCACTCCACTCACTCCACTCACTCCCCTCACTCCCTCACTCCCTCACTCCCTCACTCACGCAGTCACTCAGTCACTCAGTCTCACTCAGTCTCACTCCACTCACTCCACTCACTCCACTCACTCACTCACTCACTCACTCACTCACTCAGTCACGCAGTCACTCAGTCACGCAGTCGCTCAGTCACTCAGTCACTCAGTCACTCAGTCGCTCAGTCACTCAGTCACTCAGTCACTCACTTGTATGGACTGTCATTAGCGACAAGTGCACATTGAGGTACACCATGTTGCAAGGTTTTGTTTTAACTATGACCAGCTGCCGTCTTCGCCCGGGAATGGAACGCCTGCGGTCATTATATAGCCCGTATTTGGGGCAACTTTCAGTCCAGGGGAGCCATAATGGCCCGGCATTCTATTCGGGTGAAGACGGTGGTGTTTGTTTTATTGTTACCATGGTAAAATCGTTTGACTGTGACCATGGTAAAATTGGTTGACCTGTGACCATGGTAGAATTGTTTGACTTGGGATGGATTTGGTTTGTCTATATTGTGTTGTTGTCATATGCACATGCACAAAAGTTATGACATGACAAGTGTTTTGCCCCCGCCCTTTTTTCAAAAAGGGCGATGGCCTTGAGATATCATTATTCATCATTGAACTGACCGACCCCAGGTAATTCAGAACGGTTTTGTTCTGGTCATCATCTGATTGTATCTGGTTACGAACGTGGGTCTGATTCATATTTCAACAGTCCAGGGGGGTTGTACCAACTGAGTCCTAGGCCCGTTGGCGTAACAAGTGTTTTGGAAGAAAGCCATTGATTTTTTGTTTCATGTTCGCGTTGCTGGCGTTGCTCTCCAACACACAGATTCGCAGCAAGCTTTTCGAGTGACACAGCCATTTGTCTGAAGGGTTGAAGTGAGATTACCTTTACCTTGCTCCCCCTGTTGCATGGTGTGACACAGTGGGGACGGTGTCGATTTAGCGTGCTGCTCCTCCGCGTCGTCTGCCAGTGCAAGTAAACTTGGCGCTCGATTCGTCAGAGCCATGGGCTCGCTGGTTCGGATGCTGAATCGCCTGGCGGAGCCGGCTTTCAACTGGGCTTCGCGTCGTTACCAGGCGGCCGTCGCTGCGGAGCTGAAGAAGTACGGATTGCGGTGGGACGACCTGTATGATGAAATGTACGATTTGGACGTAGGAGAGGCGTTAAGAAGACTCCCTCAGTCGGAAGTTGATCTCCGGAATCAAAGGCTGAAAAGAGCGATTGATCACTCAATGAAGCATACTTACCTGACGAAGGAGTTGCAGGAGAAACAGACGCCGTACGCGTTCTACGTGCAGGACGTGTTGGAGCAAGTCAAGCTGGAGCGCCAGGAGAGGGCAGAGTTGGGCTCGGACATGCCGTATAACCGAAGCATTCCTTAAAAAAACAAAAGTGCGGCGGAGCAAAAGGGAAAGCGCTGAGCTGAGGGAAGGAGGGATGGCAGCGAATGACTGCTCACAGAGTTTGCACAGGTGCAAGTTACGGAAGCATTCACTGTTTTTTTTTCTGCACTCTGTATTTGTACTTAGTAGGTGATGGCAACAACATACATCATCTTGGAGGAAGAGGACGGATGGAGTGACTCCCCGTGGGCAGCAAGCGTTTCCTATTTGTTCTCAACATGCTGCGTGCGGTGATGCGGAACGAACGTCGTGTGCGACCGCAGCGATGCGAAACCAACGTCCCGTGCATGTGAAGCTTATTGTGATGCGAAACCAACCTCAAATGTATGATCCTTAATTGTACAAAGGGAATTGCAATGACATGAGTGCACGGGAGTCTGAACCTCGACCCTAAAGGGACTTGGGGGGGGGTCACACACACGCGCACATGCACATGCACATGCACACGTGCACACACACCCACACACCCACACACCCACCCACACACACACACACACTTAACACATGCAAAGCAGCATTACGTTTGTTGGAATGGCACATACACTCACACACACACACACATCATACACACACACACACGCACGCACACACACACACACACACACACACACACACACACACACACACACACACACACACACACACACACACCACACACACTTAACATATGCAAAGCAACATTACGTTTGTTGGAATAGCGTGAAATTGTAGTGGAATTGTGTGCACAGGTACGAAGTGAGATGAGGTGCAAGACAAAGGGGGAGGAGGGGAATGTGATACGTCTATGTTTTCTACTCTACTTTTGGAATCAATGAAGTGTAAGAGGGGAGTCGACTGTCAAATCACTCAAAATTATTTTCATTTCACAGAATTGTACGAATGCTATCGATACATTCATGCTGCTGCTTCTTCATCTTCGGCTTTCGTTCTTTGGTAATAATTTTCCTTTTTTTCCTGTAGATTTCTTCTTGCGATTTCTTTGGTGGGCTTGTATCAAGTTGTATGAAATTGCTCAGTGGGTTTTATTGACTATTGAAAAGATGGAAGGCAAGTGTGGTCTGACATTGAGAATTGAAAATAGATGAATTAATAGAATTATAGTAATTATTATACCAAGGAGCATAGCTCAGCTGGTGACCAAGAGAACTGTTGAAACACGGACCCAAGTTCGAATCCAAATGATGGAACCAGATGAATGAAATAATATTTCTACATTGAATGGGGCGTGTCAGCTCAATGACGATATCTCGAGATAAAAGGATGGAAAAAAAGGATCTTAAAAAATGGGTTAAAGAAAGTTTGTGCAGACTCCATAATGTCTGGAAAAATGGACTATGTGCAGATCATCTCATCTACCAAACATCTATTCCCTTATTCTCCACCCCCGCCCCCTCCCCCCCTGCCTTTCTCTCTCTGTCTTCTCCATGTGTGTGGTCATTTCATCTAGCAAATATATGTTCACTTATCCATCTCTCTCTCTCTCTCTCTCTCTCTCTCTCTCTCTCTCTCTCTCTCTCTCTCTCTCTCTCTCTCTCTCTCTCTCTCTCTCTCTCTCT